CGGCCATTTCACTAGAAACGATAGGATCGATCGAATCGTTCATTATTATCCTCGTCACGCTCTTTCTTTTACGATCTCCATTCGATTTCCTCGTTCTTTTCACGCTCGCTAAAATTTCAAAGGATTTTGTGAAAAGTCAACACGCGATTATAAATGACGATATTTCAGGAGGAATCGATGATTTTAATGATAAATTAATTAAGCCATTTTCTTTCTTTTGTTATTTTTTTTTTAATTTAATTTTTCATTAATTCAAATTCGAAAAATTAAAAGGAAAGAATGACTTAATTATATACAAGTAATAAATATTCGTTTTCCACTAATAGAAAATTTTTTTCAGGAAGCACTTAGAAGCACTTCAATGTAAAGAATACAGTTTTTCAATTTAAGAAGTTCCTATGATATTAAGTAATGAAGATATTAACACAAACAATTCGTACGTAATATTATATAAAAAATTTAAAATATATAACTATCAAGTAATTTTAATATGCATATAGAATATATGAATTTTTATAAAAACTATTAACTGTATTTAAACTCTTAAAATCTTTTTTTCATTTTTGCATATTTTTCTTTTTAGATAGGTGAATAAAAAATATTCTCTACGTGTATTTTTTTCAAGGAATAAAATTATTCTTCGCGCAATAGCATGAAGAGGATAATAAATATTTCAATGGATCCAAGCGTATCATTTTCACATCCATTCATCACCAATCCAATATATCGAAATACTTAAACATAAACGCAATTATCATAATTAATACCGATCAACATCATTCTGCCGCCTTCTTTTTCTGTTATTCATATTTTTATACTTTAAGTTTTCATGCATGCAATCGAGAACAATGTACATATTTGCAATTGTATTTTATGCAAACGCAAGAACAATATTATTTTTCATAGAATTGTATTTTTATCAAAAGAACGCCATTCGTCGCTTTCTAGAGATCATATTCGATATTTCGCTGCAGTCTGCCATTTATCGAAAGAAAAACATCCCTTTTTTTGTTCATGATGATTTTATTAATTAAATTTATTCAGTTTTGTATAGCTGAGCACCAAGTATCATCGATCACTCTAAAATGGGATGTTATTTCATTCGTATTAAATAATATATAATATATAATTTCATGGAATAACATTATAACATTTTCGTGACTGGAAATACGAAATAATCAATCAGAATATTATTATATCATATTTCTTTCATTAGATATATAAATTGAATCAGAAGTAATTTTAACAATCAAATTCATTTTATTTATATATTATCCATATTATAATTAGATTTACAATTTAACACGTAAAAATTATATTAATTATATTAGCTTATTTATTTACATTATAATGTAACATAGTTCACATAGCATATATCAAGTCTGAATCAACAGTTAATAAATTACGTACATTTTATGCATAAGATTCCTATATAAGGAGCAATGATGGCAGACTGTATCAGCGATCATCGATGCATTAATTATGTTTCCACGTCATGGAACGTTGTCATGGCGTTCTCATAAATGATTTTGTGCAAAAAAACAACTGCTTGACGCTTGTCAGAGGCGTTACATAAACGTGTAGCAACTCGTAAACGCTTCTGTTTGCCGCGAAACGCCTCTTCATCCGCTTCGAACGCGTTTCCACTTATCGATGGCTCGTCAAGCGTAACGAAAATACATAAAATACATTATGCGAGAAAAGAAATATGAACATAAATAGGTAGATGAATCTTATACAAATTTTATCTGTTATTTAAAGACGCGATACATTTAAACGATGTATTGCGATGATTATGATTGGTCCATCAGAACGAACTTTTTCAGAGGAAAGCACGAGGGTGTAGTGTAAAATTAAATCTATATTTGTATTGAAAATTGAGATCGAATTGTGGTTACATTGGA